CTCCCACCGGGAGTAGGATTCCCCCCCTTTCCTAGTTGGAATAGGATTCAGGAGGGGGAAAGAGGAGAGAGAGAAGGAAAGGGGGGGGGGCGCCCCCCTCTCCTTATCCTATTCGGACTAGGGGGGAGGGGCGCGCGGCCCAGCCCTGGCCACCTCTCCTCTCTTCCACTAAAGCCCACTAAGGCCCATATACCTCCCGGGGGGTTCCGGTAACCTCCCGGTACTCCGGTAAAATCCCGATTTCACCCGGAACACTTCCGATATCCAAATATAGGCTTCCAATATATCAATCTTTATGTCTCGACCATTTCGAGACTCCTCGTTATGTCCGTGATCACATTCGGGACTCCGAACAAACTTCGGTACATCAAAATGCATAAACTCATAATATAACTGTCATCGAAACCTTAAGCGTGCGGACCCTACGGGTTTGAGAACAATGTAGACATGACCGAGACACGTCTCCGGTCAATAACCAATAGCGGAACCTGTATGCTCATATTGGCTCCTACATATTCTACGAAGATCTTTTATCAGTCAGACCGCATAACAACATACGTTGTTCCCTTTGTCATCGGTATGTTACTTGCCCGAGATTCGATCGTCGGTATCTCAATACCTAGTTCAATCTCGTTACCGGCAAGTCTCTTTACTCGTTTCGTAATACATCATCTCACAAATAACTCATTAGTTGCAATGATTGCAAGGCTTATGTGATGTGCATTACCGAGAGGGCCTAGAGATACCTCTCCGACAATCGGAGTGACAAATCCTAATATCGAAATACGCCAACCCAACATGTACCTTTGGAGACACCTGTAGAGCACCTTTATAATCACCCAGTTACATTGTGACGTTTGGTAGCACACAAAGTGTTCCTCCGGCAAATGGGAGTTGCATAATCTCATAGTCATAGGAACATGTATAAGTCATGAAGAAAGCAATAGCAACATACTAAACGATCGGGTGCTAAGCTAATGGAATGGGTCATGTCAATCAGATCATTCACCTAATGATGTGATCCCGTTAATCAAATAACAACTCTTTGTCCATGGTTAGGAAACATAACCATCTTTGATTAACGAGCTAGTCAAGTAGAGGCGTACTAGTGACACTCTGTTTGTCTATGTATTCACACATGTATTATGTTTCCGGTTAATACAATTCTAGCATGAATAATAAACATTTATCATGATATAAGGAAATAAATAATAACTTTATTATTGCCTCGAGGGCATATTTCCTTCAGGTTTGGGGAGAAATCTTTTGGTCCTTCACATGAACAATAGCAGCATTCGAAAGCGAGGGGGCCACCTCCAGAGTAGGCAGATCAGAATCAAAAGCAAAGAAGGCACATCCAGGAAGGCCCGTGCCATATTGGAGGAGAGAGGGGGATTTCAATCTATTCACGCAATTGACCGTGAGGTGCCCATCAGTTCGGCAAATCAAACAGAAAGGGAGGTTGGTACAACGACATTGGAAGTGATTGGGCTTGTGGCAGGCGAAGCAGGTAAGCGCAGAAGGGTTGCTATGGGAGGCAGAGGATGGGAGGGGATGCGGGAGGGGGGGAGGAGGAGGCAGGATCCCATCCCCCACACCCGGAGAGGAGGAAGAGCCAGGGAAAGGACCGGAGGGGCGCCGCGCCGGCCCCACGAAGGAACGATGAGGCGGACGGGCTCCCACACCCGCACCAGCCGGGCGAGGGGGATGAGGGAAACACCCCGGGGCGGGAGCGCCGCGCCCCACGTCGTGCACAGGTAGAGAGCCTGAGGAAGAAGAGCCCCCACCACCAGAGGCCGCCGCCGCCTCCCATGAATCCACCACAGGAGGAGGAGAAGGACCAGATCCAGGCCGCGGAGGCCCAGAACCAAGGACGCGCCCCTGCTCCGAGCTCTGCGACCAATCCGGACCCGCAGCCCAGGTTGCACGATCCCGAGCCGCCTGCTCGCAGGCCGCCTGCCCCGCCTCCAGCTTGGAGCGAAGCTCAGCCTTGAGCTCCAGATCCAAGACGAGGGCGACGCCTCGCGCGGCCGCTTACAGTCCGACACGACCTCACACGAGGAGCCTCGAGATTTGTCCATGGAGAGCACCGCGGCAAAGGAGAGGAGAAGGGGAGGAGGAGGGCTAGATCTGACGAGACGACGGATGGGAAGGCGATGACGGCGTAGATCTGCAGCGGAAGCCGGAAACCCTAACAGAGGGGGGAAGGAGCCACGAGGGATCCATAAGTACCCGGTCGAGGCCATGCCCGCCTGGGCCCGATGGGTTGAATGGGCCAACGAAGAGGGGGGAGGAGGCAGCACTGCGGGCGCCCTAACTGGGCCAAAAGAAGCTAAAGGGGGAAAGTCAATGATAGACGAGAGGGGGGGAGGAGATGGCCCACCTGGCGAGGCAACAACGAGAGGCCCAGCAAGCCCCCAGATGGCCCATCCAGCGGCCCAATAGCCAACGGAGCGGCCACCAGATCTAGGTCAAACGGCACCGACGGCACCAACCGCCCCGGGAGCCCCGCCGCCGGCGGTGCGGCAGACGGGGATGCACCACGCGAGGAAGATGAAGAAGAAGGTGAAGATGAAGAAGATGGGGAGCCACCAAGCCCCCCATCAGGGGCGGCATCCAGCAGCCCAGACCCAGAAGAAGCAACCGAGCCCTTACCGGCCCTGCCCCGACGACGAGACACCCAGAACCAGCCAACATCGGGATCCGCGGCAACCAGAGGTCGACCCCTCCCACCAGGAGCAAACTTGCGGGGACGGGGCGCAGGAGGGAGGGCCACTGATCTTACCGGAGCCGCCGACGAACAGCAGGGCGAGGGAGGAGCAGAACACAACTCGTCTTCATCGGAGGCGAGAGCCCAAAAGCGAGATCCCAACGTGGGTAGAGGAGAGGGGGAAGGGGGGTCGCACCAGCGAGGGGAGAGGAGGACGCCCGGGCCGCCACCGGCGACGGGGAGGGGGAAGGAGGGGCGGTGGAGGGCGGGGAGCGCCACGGGCGGGAGGAGGGGGAGGAGGACAGGAGAGCCATCCCTCGACCGATTGTCGTCGAACCTCGTGATGCTCAATCAATCCAACCACATCAATTCACATGTAGTCATAAGTATTTTTTTCGTTTGAGTTCATCCTTCATATTTTGTTAGAGATGACATTCTTGTAACCACATTTCATTTCTTTCTCTTTCTATATGCTTCGCATCTTTTTTAATCATACATTTGCTTTTAATTAGTTTTACATGTTTTTGTAGCAACTATTAGTAAGGTTCCGCAACAACACGCGAGACATCATCTAGTTTATCATAGATGGTGAACCAATTTTTTTATGCAAATCCAAAATATTCGTTTATTTAAAACAATAGATAGTTTGATCATTTTACAAATTAAATTCGCGGGAAACGGTTATGGGCTGGCCGATTTGACCTTTTTTCGCTGCCTCGAGCAACTCTCTCCGTGGTCAGGTTTCTCTTTGTGGGCCGTGCGTGCTTTGACTTCAGAGATCATTTTTTTTAAGCATCAGTACAGACACAAGCGCTCATATACACGCGTATACACTCACCCCTATGAACACACACATGCACACCCTACCCCTATGAGCACCTTGAGAGACTGAGCCGGCATATCATTTTGAGATTTACGAAGTCACCGTAGGCGCCTCGTCGTTGACGGAAACGTCTCCTCCCACTGAAAGCGTATCGCCGAAAATCCTGAAATAAATCCAAGAATAATGCTATCATCAGGATTTAAACGCTGGTGGGTTGAGAATACCACTGTTCACCTAATCAACTCAACCACAGGTTGATTCGCAACTTCAGAGATCATTTTGAGACGCCATGGATGCGAGCGCGCCCGGTCAAAAGCGGGCGCGCGACCACGTCCCTGTCGTCCGGCCCTGACCCGACCGGCCGAGCCCGAAGACCTCATCGTCCCCGTCCCCTCCCACCTCTCCTTTTTTCCGCCTCCGTCCACGCCGCCGCCTCCGCAGCAGCCCTCTTCGCCGGGGTGACCTCGGTGCGGCGGCGTTGCGTCCGGACCTCTCTCCGGGGAAGGCGAAGCAGGACGGGCCATCATTTGCCGTAGGGGCGGAGGTCGCGTCGGGGGGAGGGTGCTCTAGGGTTTCCTGCCTCTGCGGCGGGCGGGATGTACGTGCCACGGCCCTCCCGCTCCGATGGTAGCCGAGACGCCGACGAGCAGCCTAGGGTTTACCAGGTTTGGCGCGGAAACAACGTACGTTCTCTCCCTTTCTCCCCTCCTCTGTCTCTTGTCCATCGCCGCAGGAGGGATTTCGGTCTGGATGTACGAATGTACAGATGCGCTCTATGCGAGTCGCTTAGCTGTCTGTGAAATTGAGTTTTTCTTTCAAGAGTGGCTAACTTTTAACCAGACTAGAAATTTGTTGTGGAGTTCGTCAGAATGGTTTTCGATAGTCATGTCGGTTTTCGCTCTTGTGCCATGTGAACGTTTGCATTCGAATAAGTGCAAACTCATACCTGTTACTCTGAAATTATCTTTTGACCCATCGCCAGTTTACCACGTACTGTGAATCGGAGATTGATAAATGATCAGTACTGGAGGTACTTGTGAGTTACTTGGATGGCTGCCGCTCTGTGATGGCTGTCACCCCAGAAAAATGGAAGTTTGGTTCCATTTGGAAAAGATATTTTGTTTTTCTTTTGTTCATTATCATACAACCGATACATCTGCGAAATAGGTATTTCATTCGGATAAATTCAGGTGAAATATATGTTGAGCAGTACAATCGATGGATTTTAGTTGAAAATTTTATCCACAGTTTTGATGATTGGTCTTTGTCTCTATGATGAACAGCTAACTCCTTGTGAGTTAGTATATGTAAGGATGCCTATGCTTTAGCTGCAACTGATTTCAATTAGTACCTAGGTGAAATGAAACTATGCAAAGTAAGGAGGTTGTATGTGTAAAGATGTCACCAATAATAATAAGATTTCTCTTCAATTGCTACCAACGTTGATATGTTCAAGTTGATAATGATGATTTTAGAAAACTTTGTTTCCTGACATCCAAGCCTGCTAGTTTCTCCGCATATTTTTAGTCTTGTGATACTTTTGTTATCCTTGGAGAGTCGTGATTGAGTGCACTTACAATACTTCTTGCTAGCTCTTAGATATGATGGACCTTGTTCATGTTAATATATCATGAGCTTTGTCATATTGTTTAGAAATCATGATAAATTGCATTTTGTTCTCTTTTCTGTACATATGGCTTGATATTGACATATGTTTTCTAGTAGAGCTAAATAGTCAAAATGGTCATTGGTGAAAGATACAAAATTCTTTAGCTTATTAACTTATGATAGCTCAGCTATGCCATCAGCCACTGTTTAGACGAGCTTCAACTTAAATCCAATAAAAGCTTAAGCTCCTCCAAAGGGTCTACAGCTTGCAGCACTTCACAGGAAAGCTTTTGTTGCTATTTAGGCTGTACGACTGCTTTGAATTTAAAACATTTAATGTTTGCTATGATTGCTTATTACAACCACATTTGCCAAATTTTGTTGATGACATTCCTTTGCATTTTTCAGGAATTCTTCTTGCAAGGGAGGCTTATATTTGGGCCTGATGCGAGATCCATATTTCTCACTATGTCCCTCATCTTTGTACCAGTGGTGGTGTTCTGTGTATTTGTCGCCAGACACCTCATAAATGACTTTCCTGATCACTGTGGTATCTCAGTGATGGTAGTGGTGGTTGTCTTCACCGTCTATGTAAGCATACTAGTACATCACAAGTCATTAATTATTTATGATTAGAAGCAAAAAATAAAAGCTACTCCCTCTGTTCACAAATGTAAGACGTTTTGGCAGTTTAACTGCCAAAACGTCTTACATTTGTGAACATTAAACTGTCAAAACGTCTTACATTTGTGAACAGAGGGTGTATTACCTAACCTTGTAAAATGAAATGGTCCAAGTGAACCTATTTTATTTTGTTTACTGTCTCTGTCTCGTACATAGTACCGTCCTGGTTCTTTCGATGATAGTTTTTGCATCCATTGTAAATGTAAACACAACTGAGCTTCTTTTCCTTTCTAGGATTTGACGCTACTTCTTCTTACATCTGGTAGAGACCCTGGTATAATACCTCGCAATACTCACCCTCCTGAACCTGAAAGCATCTATGGGAGCAATTATATTAGAGGTCAAACACCGCTCCGTTTGCCTCGGACAAGGGATGTTGTTGTAAACGGAATTAGTGTGAAGGTTAAGTATTGTGACACCTGCTTGCTTTACCGACCACCTCGATGCTCACACTGTTCTATCTGCAATAACTGCGTGGAACGGTTTGATCATCATTGCCCATGGGTTGGACAATGCATTGGGCAGGTAAGTTTGGAGATTTGTAACAGTTTGTAATGTATCCTTATTTTGCAAAAGCATGTTGCTTGGGCGTGCTCATAGGTATTTCAAGGTTGCTCTTTGTGCAGACATTTCTGATTGTAGGATTTCTGCTCACTTATCTTCAATATCAGTTGGGTCTAATCATAAGCATATATTTGATGCAGCGTAATTATCGGTTCTTCTACATGTTTGTATTCTCCACCATGTTAATCTGCCTCTACGTATTTGCCTTTTGTTGGGTGTACATAATCAAGATTAGTGATGCTGAGCATTTGTCAATTGGGAGGGCAATGTTAAAGACACCAGCCTCAATTGTTCTGATTGCCTACTGTTTTCTTTGTGTGTGGTTTGTTGGTGGTCTGTCTGTCTTCCATTTCTATCTGATGAGCACAAACCAGGTAGGCGTTGGTTTATTTTAATAACCATCTCCTATTCGTAGTACTTGCAATTCAATAGTTAATCATATACCCATTTCCTTTTGTAGACAACTTATGAAAATTTCAGATACCGCTATGATCGGCGGGCTAACCCCTATAACAGAGGTATTCTGAACAACATTCTAGAGATATTCTGCAGCTCTATTCCTCCTTCAAAGAACAATTTTCGGGCAAGAGTCACGGTAGAGCAAGGTGTAGAACAAGCACGATCTTCATCTGGGGGTTTCATGAGCCCCGACATGGGCAAGGCTGTTGGAGATCTTGAAATGGGCAAGAAGCCAGCGCCTTGGGATGAACCCAGGACGACAGCCGATATTGGCGACTTGGAAGTAGGTCTTGGTGGCATGTTGGATGAGAAAGAGGGCAGAGTAACCCATGCATCCCCAGATGTTAGCCGAGATCAACTTTCCCCGGAGCTTGTGGAAGGCCGAGCTGGCATGCATTCAAGGCATTCAAGCTGGGATCCTAGAGCTGAAACCTCGGAGTCAGTGAACAGCAATTCTGTGCAAACAGCCCCTACCGAGGAAACTAATGGGGGCGGCCATGTTACTACGAGCGGTGCGCATTAGCAATCACAAACGGAATGCTACAGATGAACATTTGAGCTCTGCTTTGCAGTGCGCCATCGATCGTGTTCTGAATGGAGCACCATGTATTTATCAGTTGTGGCAGGATAAGGTCCTGGACGTGTGTAATTCAGAACAGACTTCCCGTTGCTTTCCCGGTGGTGCATCAGACCGTTCAGGCTTCTGTTGTTGTGCGTGTTTGTTGTGATAATAGCTCGAGCTCCCACCCTTCCCGGGTTTGGGTTGATGATGTATCTGCAATGCAGTTGTGTGTATATATATATACAAATTATGGGACAGTTTGTGTTTGTTCATGATGTGGCTTGTCAGAGTGCCATCGCCCCCCCTGGTTTGACTGAAGGAGGTGAGGCGTATTTAATCAAGATTAAGTATCTCTGAGTGTAATCTGAGCTGTGTTGAATGGCAAGTGAATGTAGGTGTGCAGATTTAGGACGTATTATTCCTACGTCCTAATGAACAAGGGCCCTTAATCGAGCTTGCCAGCTACGTATGCTTTGAAATTCCAAACAGGGCTATTGCCAAGTCTGCTGGCTCTGGCTGTCTGGCCCCGAGGCCTGAGCCGTCGCAGCAGACAGGCGTGCGGGCAAGAACCGGTGTCACGAATCCTGCCGCTCGTAGCCGTTCTTTTTGAATAGTTTGAATTGCTTACGACATGTGTCCACGTTGCCGTTCTACGTCGGCTGGAACGGCAAATCAATCAAGTCCAGATGCCCAATAGCCTCAGCACAGCAATCAGCGCACATATTATGCAGGCACGTTTCTCGTCTGGAGCCGACCAGGAAGGCCAATATGTGCGGACGATGCGACAGTGGCGCTCTCTCACACCATCCATCCATCCATCCATCCTAGTACTTGGTCGCCTTGCCGTGCCCTCCCTGTGCGCCATTTCCCATCATAGCCTCGCGTGCATCCACATCAAAATCAAAACGGTGGGTGGCTCCAATCGCATTTAGCAACTGGCAGTACCACATGGCTGCCGACCCGGCCGTACGCATGCATGCATGTAGTAGGAGGATATGTATGTAGACACATTTCAGAATGTTTGTTTATTCATTTTTGTCCGTATGTAGTTTATGTTGAAATATCCAAAACATCCTATACCTCTCTAAATATAAGACTTTTTAAAGATTTGAATACGGACTACATACGGATGTATATAAACATGATTTAGAGTATAGATTCATCCATTTTACTCTATATGTAGTCGGTATTGAAATATCTAAAAAGACTTGTATGAAGGAGCATAGGGAGTATTATTCTCGATGAAGTGAAGTGAAGTGCGTGAGAGGTCGGTCGAGAGCATTGCAATTTGCAAGCTAGGTAGGTGAGCTAGGCGATCGATCAAGCATGCTGGTGCAGCTGAGAGCGAGAGGGATCGATCAAGCATATGCATATTGGAGGCTGGCATTGGTAGTGCCCGCAGGCCGCCGCAGTGCATGCATGGTGCCATCCAGCTCAAGTGCCAGGCAGGCCAGCAGCTTTCCTTCCCTCTAGATAGACGGAAACAATTACGATCCAGACTCAAGTACGGCCACGTTGCCATCCAAGACGCATACATGGGAACAAAAGCGAATTTGCGGCCGCTAGTGGCGATAGATCTCATCTCAGGGCTAGTCTAGTCAGAGTGATGTATAGAAGCATAAGCGCCAAGACACGGAGTGAGCAACAGCTACCCTACCCGGCCGGCTATAGTGTGATTCTGCGCCCAAAACTGCATGCAACTTGCCTAGCTAGTCGCCTCCCGCCCGGCGCTGCCTCAGCTCCAACGATCCACCGGCCGGGCCGGTGCACGCGTAGCTGGCCGGCCACCTCACCGCTTCCTAGCTCCATCGACCCCGGCCCTTCGAAACTGCGTCGATCCTTCCTATACCGCCCCGCTCGATCTACTCTGCACGCACACTGTTTTCTCTTCCACCTTGCCACTTGTACCGGGGACGGGCAAATGTGTTGCTTGCCCTGCCCTGCCCTGCCTATGTGCGCCGTGGGGACAAACACTAACAGGATGTTGCCTCGGATTGCAGGGCCTGCATGTCAGTCACTGTCCACCGCCTCGGTGTACACCGAGCAATGTCTCTGTCGTTAGCGCATGTATTTCTGCGACCACTCTCAACGTCAAAACGGCGCATGCCGGTGGGGCCGGTATGTCAGCGACTACTCGGGACGGCGGTTTCCGGTTATACGCATCTAACCGTTGGCTCTCGCACGAAAAACGCTAAAAATGGCGGATTGCCTATTGGGGAAGAAGAGCTGGAGCCGAGGGCGTCAATGGCTGCATTTTCGCATGTGGAGTCTGCTTCGTTCCATTCACCATTTTGCGGCTGTGACGCACTGAATGCTGACAATATATAAAGCTTTATTAATTTGTCCTTCTACATTTCCGCCCTGCTGAGCCGTGTGTATGGTAGCGTACAAGTCACCACACTAGCTAGCAAGAAACAAGGTGCAGCCTAGAGCTAGCTAGCGGGTTTTGCCATGGAGACGCATGCCGCTTTTTGGCAAGAGCTATAGATGAAGGCAGAGCACCGTGTCCTCTTTTCATTTCATTTTATTTTATTCTTTTGATAAAGGTTACATTTTTTCCTAATGAAACCTTTTTTTATTGCGGGGTTAATGGAAGCTTTTATTGATTCTTTGCCATGATAATACAACCGCACAGGAGCTTGTCAGCTTCCGGTCTAGGATAATCTGTATTAGCGAGACACACAAGGCGCCAAGCCCGAAATTCGATGCTTGATGGGTCGAGGGTACAATACAACCATGCAAACTAAAAGGGTACTACCACATTTATGGATGTTGAGAAATTCATTTCAAAACAAACAAGCAAAAAATGTTGGGAACCTTTTGCCTAAGACTTTGGCTTGCAATTTCCAGGGAACTTCCTTTGGGCACACCTTTGCATGCCATGATGTGACGGGCCGGGTGCTGGCAAAATAGGCTTTGCCTTTGTTGTGCGTTATCATGGCTATATATATTGAGCATCTTGCCGAGGCATATGTGTGACTTGTCCAAGTGCATCACCGAATTACTAGCCCGAAACCATCATGCAAATAATTCTTCAAGATTTTCTTCTTTGCCATTGCAAAAAATAGGATTTCCTTTTTTATGGAACAATTAGGGTATTATGGAAATACTCTCATGGAATATGCATGCAGTACGAAGAATATGTTTCATCAGCATGTTGTTCAGGAATACTCCACATATCATGGTAAAACAAAAGTAGCCTCAGCTACTGTGAAATTGTTTCTGACGGATGTTTTAAAATTAGAAACCAGATGCATGTGGAAGGCGCACACTGAATTTCTACCTTTAGGAGCTAGGGCAGGTAAGATCAAAAGGTACAAACTCTCGTCGTTTCCTTAAAAGAGAGAGACCCCTGCCTCTCTGGTACAAGATGTGCTCAATTGACCCACGCCTAATCTGAAAATGACATACTCTTAACTGAAGTGTTTGCTTGTACTTTTGGATATCACATGGACAAACATTTATACTACTCCGAAACGAAACCAAGGCCTTTTTCGGCGGGGTGATTTCTCTCAATTCATATGAGAACGGAACCCTCTTTTGTACTGTATAAAATTAACGTGCTTCAAGACCCATCAATAAAATTGAAGCTGAAGAGCTACCTACTCCCACAGTGCCATGTATGCATTCTAGGCAATGGACTTGTAGTACTGCTGTTCCGGTAGAATTGGGAGCTCCATGATTGGTAGGCCAAGCAAGCAACCAATGCATTTCTATCGTCCTTGATTATTCCTTTTGGTGTTGACTAGACGAGGCAACTGGAACCTCGTACGCCGATCGGCGACATTGAGGCAGGCACTTTAATAATTCATTCACCACTACAGTGGCCACATAGGTTACAGCGCACAGGAGATAAGATATGAGACAGAGGGAAAAAAGATTCAAGTTATTGAGAGCCCTTGGCACCAACTTGCCGTTCTGGAAGAACCAACGGGCAGATCGGCTGCATGTTGGCATGCCGCATGCACACACACGGATCGGAAAAGTCTAGTGGTGCTGAAAATAACCATCAAAATTCACGGCAAAAACATGCCATTTGATCACCTCAGTGGTACTGGTGCTGGTTTTCTTTGGGTGCAAAAGGCACAGCAGGATCGCTGTGTCCCCTTCCTGCTGTCTGCATCTATGCGTGCAAGCTAGCCAGGGCCAGGGTTGTAAAGTTAACAACCACTTTGGTTCAAATGATTGTTGCAAGAATTTTGGAGCTTAATTTGCTGACAGTCATCAGAAATCATTCTTTTGCGTGGGCGGTTTAATTTGTAGGACTATGATATGATTCATATGAATTTTGCTACTGACATCTCGCTCCTACTCCCTCCGTTCACAAATATAAGATGTTTCAAACTCTTTTCTGAATCGAATGTATATATACATGTTCTAGTGTTTGTTCACCCATTTCAGTCTGTATGTAGTCCATATTGAAATATCCAAAACATGTTATATTTATGAACGGAGGGAGTACTATGTTTTCCAATTTCTATTGACTCAAACGACCCCTCGGAACTAGGAAGGACTCGATGCATCACCACCAAGCAACGCTGTAGGGAGGGAGGTGGTAAGTTGCGCGACACAGATTTATGCGCGAGCCATCGGATATATATATATATGCGCTCTTTTTGCAAGATATGGTTCGTTGATGTGCCCGTCTCACTGGCTGAAGGTGAAATGCTACTACAGAGATCTTCATTGCGAGGGCCAGCACAGGGAATGGAAGGGGTCGGAAGAGATGGGGTGAGGCGAGAACGAGATAGAAAGGGGGAAAAGCTAGGCCTAACCTCTACTGCTGCAACCGCCACTAGTAAAACCCGTCCGGCCGGTGCATGCGCATTGTTTCGGGGGCTGACCACCCAAGTTGCCCGATGTCCACCCCATGATCTTGATCGTGCGTGAAACAAGATTGGGAAAATGGGCACAGCATTACCGGCACTAGCACTAGCAGTAGCAGCAGGCCAGCCTAGCTA